AATCAATTTCCTTATTAATTAGAAGCCACTAACAACGTATCTTGTTATATAATTATATATATTAAAATTATATTGTCATTATTTAAATATAAAGAACGTTCGTAAAAGATGGAGCAATACAGAACACTTTTAATCAAGGTTTAGATATGGATAAACACACACACCGTGTTACACAGTAAAAGATTTAAAGCCTTACTTTTCACGTGATGCCATGATTATCATGATTTAAATTTTTTTTTCTAAAAATATTAATCGAGGACACAGGGAGAAATTTATATTAGTTAATGATTATGTATCATCAAAACTTAAATAACTACTTATTAATTTAGATTAGTTTTTTATCAACAAGTATCCATTTAGTGTTTAATAATAACTTATTTTAAACTAACAATAATTTATTCGGGTTTTTTTATTTAGATTTTAACAATAAATAATTCTTAACTGATATAAATTTTTTTTAATGGTTTTCCATTACTATTTTTCCTTTTATTTTTCAGCCACATGTAAACAAATAAAAACAGAAAAGTAGGGGAAAAAAAAGAGAGGAGAACATAGAGAAGAAAGAGAAGAAGAAACAACAACAATTATGTATTAGAACATGCAAACAGTAACATCTACTTCTTAGGCACACTCTTTTTCCCCCCACACAATTATTCGTCCTTTCAATACAAATGTAAAGCATTATATGCATACATGCAACGACATTACGTCAACATTACGTAGTTCAATTATTACCTACAAATGTAAAGCATACTCTTTAATGCACTTTTCTTCCAGAACCAATGGGACAGATTGGTAAATATGTGGTTGAGTTCGTTCAATCTGTGTTTCGTCAACCAACTTCCATCAAGGATATTAATAATACTTTGCTTGTTCTTATCCCTAAGAAATCCCCTCCTGAAACTGTGAAAGATCTGAGACCAATCAGTTTATGTGATTTGATCTATAAAATTATCACGAAGGTGATCTCTAAAAGATTTTGGGCTTTCCTCCCTTAGGTCATCTCTCCTAATCAACGCAGCCTTGTACTGGGGAGATATAGTCCGGATAATATCATTGTGACACAGGAAGTCATACACTCTATGAGAACAATAAAGAAGAAAAAAGGCTTCATGACTCTAAAAATTGACTTGGAAAAAGTTTTTGACAGGCTAAACTGGAATTTTCTGGTGCAATGCTTGAAGGAATTGAAAATTCTACCTACACTTGTTGACCTTATTTTCTCAGCTTTGTCTAGTTCTACAATGCAGATTCGTTGGAATGGTTCAAAAACGGATGCTGCTCAACCCTCTAGGGGAGTTAGACAAGGTGACCCTATGTCCCTGTACTTGTTTGTTATATGTGTGGAGAAACTAGCTCATATTATTCAATCTCGGGTTAATGGTGGAGATTGGAAGCCCATTCATCTTAACAAGACTGGCCTTCCCATATCTCACCTATTCTTTGCTGATGATATCATCCTTTTCCCTGATGCTAATTCGCAACAAGCGGAGATTATCAAAGAATGTCTTGATTTATTCTGCAGTGCTTCAGGATTGAAGGTAAACGCTTCTAAAACTCGGATGTTCTTTTCTCCTAATGTTAATCATGACAGGTGTACTGAGATTAGTGATTGCTTGGGGTTTATGAGGACGATGGACTTGGGAAAATACCTTGGAGTCCTCTTCTTCGTGAGAGTTAATAAAGATAATTTCCAAGATACTATTGACAAAGTACGGTCTCGTCTTGCTAGATGGAAGCCAACACCCCTCTCCCTTGCTGGAAGAAATACTCTAATTTCTTCGGTCACGTCAGCAATGCCTGGACACATCATGCAGACTGCCTTACTTCTTGTTGCTACTTGTGAGGCTATTGACAAATGTAATCGAGACTTTTTATGGGGAATCTCGGATGACAGGCGTAAGATTCACTTAGTAGCCTGGGATGATGTTTGCAAACGAAAAAAGAATGGGGGGCTCGGTCTACGTCATGCAAGGAAACAAAACCTTCCTTTTCTCATGAAGTTGGGGTGGGGACTTTGCAAGCGACGTGATAACTTATGGGTACGAGTGGTTCGCAACAAGTATCGCTGTGGAGAAGATGTGATTCTAAAGATAAATGAAAGACGCTCAGGATCAAATATTTGGTCTGGAATAAAAACAACTTGGGATAATGTGCAGAGAAGCATTGAATGTTTTAACGATGGGGAGAATGTTCGCTGATGCAAAGAGAGCAATGGTTTGTTCACAGTCAAATCAGCTTACACCATGCTGTCTTCACCTGTTGATCAGAACACGAATCATTTGTGGGAGAGAATGTGGAAAGTTAATGCCCCGCAACGTTGCAAGACTTTCCTCTGGCTAGCATCTCGAGGTAGTCTTCTCACTAATAGCGTTAGGAAGAGGAGGGGTTTGAGTGGGGATGATGCTTGCCCTATATGTCAAGACCATACTGAGGATACCCTTCATGTTCTTCGTGACTGTGAACAAACTCGAAGTATGTGGCAAGAGTTGATACCTCCTGCAGCTTGGAACCGGTTTGTGAGCGTAAACTTGGTTGATTGGATTGCTATGAATGTGTCTAGAACGTTGATGGGGCCTTTTCGAACACGGAGATGAAGGCAGCTTGCGGCAGTATTTTTCGAGATGATAATGGATCCTTCATTAGTGCTTTCATGAGCCACCTGGGTTGCAGAGATAGTTTATCAACTGAGCTTTGGGCGTGTTTACTCGGGCTAAAGCTGGCTTTGGATGGAGGTTATAAGAAAGTTATCCTTGAGACTGATGCTACTGAAGTGGAGGAAGCCATAAAAGCAGCGCCTAAACCAGAACAACTTGATTTCCACCTCATTTCGGAAATTAGACAGCTCATGCACAGGGAGTGGGAGGTCCAGATCCGGTATATCAGACGTGAGTTCAACAAGGCAGCAGACTCTCTGGCGAAACTTGGACTTAACACGATGCCTGGCTTACACTTGATCTCTCAACCGTCTGCTGCTATTTCTAGGATTATTAGGAAGGATCGAATAGGGCCTAGAGGCCTAGGATTATCTTGGCAGCTTTTTCTGCCTCTCTATTTATTAAAAAAAGAAAAAGAAAAAAGAAGAAGCATTGTATGTATACATGCAATGACATTACGTGCTTCATGGTATGACATTTCGTGCTTTATGGTGAAGTTTAAGAGAGATAAGAAAAACATTGTGAGGCCCCGAAGAAACTTGTTTCTCTTTCTATTTCTACCAGAATGGATCCCTGCTTCCAGAGGAAGCAACCACCGGACCGTCCACCTGGTGAACTTGAAGGAACAGTCACTAAACTGAAAAAAAGCGAAAGCTTCTGGATCTGGATTCTCAGATCCAATGCTCTTGGAAAGTGAAGATAGGGGCATGGTCTCCACTGTCAATGATGCAGATGAGTTTCCTCCGTTAGCTAGGCAGGAAGACAGCACAAAAATCCAAGACATGAATGTAGATGACGAAAATCCAAAAAACCATTCACCAACTCCTTGTTCTTATAAGGCCTCATTATTGGGATTTAATGGTGTGGCTAATGGAGAAATGGTGATGGAGGTGGATGATTTAATGTAGGAAGGGGATGAGATCCCTTGGAAGCTCCCAGAACCTAGGGAAGAAATGAAGGAACTTATGAAACTTTACCCAGTGGTACCTATGTCGGAAGAGGAACTACAGGATTGGTGTAAACCATGGAATCAAGCATTGGTTCTGACAGTTCTGGGGAAACGCCTACGTAGAAATGACTTGAAGAAATGGCTTAGCAGAATGTGGGGTATTCCAGAATTTGAATTAATTGATCTGTGCAACAACTATTATGTGGTAAGATTTACGGATCCAACTCAGATGAAGTCTCAATATAGAAAGGTTCTCTTTGAAGGACCATGGGTAGTCATGCAGCATTGTGTTCTTGTTCAGCGATGGTCTCCATATTTTGATCCTTTCAATAATCCTTTAGGGAGAATTGCAGCTTAGGTGAGAATTCCAAACATTCCCATGCGTTGCTGTAACAAGAATTTCATATGGCGTTTGGGAGAAAGGATTGGTAAACCTCTTAAGGTAGATATGTGCACACTATCAGACATGTCGTCGGCTAATGCTACAATTGAAAGAGGAAGACATGCTCGTATATGTGTTGAGTTAAATCTTCAAAAAAAGCTGGTGCCTCGTGTGATCGCTGCATGCTCAGTTTTTAATGTGGAGTATGAAGGACTTAAACTCATTAGCTTCCATTGTGGACAATTTGGCCATCGACGTGAGGAATGTTCTAGGATTACGCATAATCCAGCTGAAGATGCTCATAATACAGTGAAGAACACACAATCTAGCTATCACAGATCACCGGAAAAACCACCGGCTGCATCTCCACAGGTGAGTACGATTCTGAAAGAGAATGCAGATTATGGGACGTTCATGTTTCCCAAGGGATCTAATTATCAAAAATCTAGGACGCCATCAGTATGTACCGCTCAGCGATACCAAGGAAAGCGTACTTTCGCTCTTAATCAAGGGAAAAGTCACCTTACCAAGTCAAGATTTAGTGTACTAGATGAGATGGAAGATGAAGATTTGTCAGGTGCAAATGCCACTGTTACTGAATATTTAAGAGACAGAGTCGAGGATAGGGCAGCGGAGCAGGTTAAGTCTATGGAACAGAAAGCTGACCCTAAGTTGTCAGAGTTCAATCCAGACTTGCATCAGAGATCATGTGACAAAACTCCGCTGAAAGGGCGGACCAAGGGGAAATTAATGGAAAGGAAACCGCGTCTTCGATGGGCCAAAAATCTAATGGGCCATTTGCCAGGACAAATAGGGAAAAGGAGGCGTACAAGGTAAAAGAAACGGGCTCTTCGAATACAATACAACCTCCTAAGCAGCGTTCACATGTTGTGATCCAGGGAAGTAATCTAGACGTGGGCCAAGGTAACTCCAGTAGCCCAAGCTCTTCCAATAAGGGCCAAATGGTTGTCCCCACCAGCTCGAATATGCACCCTCAAGGTTCTCTGGATAATGCTGTAGATCACTTACTGGTACTAGTTCCTTTTCAAGAGGCAGGTTCATCGGATCCACCAGGTCCAGTATGGAGGAGTCAGCCATCACAGGAGGCAAATACTATTGAGGATAGGGTGGCACTGGTGGCCTGAGAAGCGAAGATCGTGACGAATGTGACTAATGGGAGGAGCTAATCCCAGGTCAGTTCTTCTCTTCATGATTATTTTTATGATTATAGCTAGCTGGAATTGTAGAGGGGCAGGTGGACGCACTTTCCCTAAGTTAGTCAAGGACATTGTACAAAAGTATAATATTGATATTCTATGCCTCTTGGAGCCACGCATTAGTGGAATGAGAGCAGATGGGTTGCTAGAAAATTAGGATTCACAAATTGGATCCGGGTTGAAGCCTCAGGATTTGCAGGAGGTATATGGGTTTTTTGGAATATACATCTTCACAAAATCAGTTATATCCAATCATCTCTGCAGATGCTGCACTGTGAGGTTTTTGATCTTTTCTTGGGTATTAAATCACTGGTGACTTTTATCTATGGTGAGACCTCAATACAGGGCCGTAGAGGGCTATAGGATTCTCTATGCAATATGTCCTATAGTATCACTGAACCTTGGCTTATATTAGGTGACTTCAATGCATATCTATGGCCTGAAAATAAAAAAGGTGGGGCTGATCCTAATGTTATTTCTATAAGGGACTTTGCAGAATGTGTTTCTAATTGCAACCTTCATGAATTGGATGTGGTTGGGGACCAATACACTTGGGAACGTAACGAACTTAAAGTAAGACTGGATTGGGCTCTAGCAAATGACGCGTGGGGGAATGGATTTGGTGACATGAAGGCTTTTCACCATCTCAGAATTAAATCTGATCATCGCCTTATTGTAGTAGCTAAAGGGGAATCTGAGTTTAGATCACACTTTAGACGTAAAGCTTTTAAATTTCAATCTGCATGGCTTCTTGAAGAAGATTTCCCTGATATTGTTGAAAGGGCTTGGGAAAATAATTCTTGGCTTACTAGTTTGGAGACGTTCACCTCTACTGCTATTGTTTGGAATGATACTGTAGTGAGAAGCATCCCATACAAAAAGAGGAAAATCCTTAGCAGAATTGAGGGTATTGATCGTGCACGAAGTAGACATGATTGTAATGGATTAAGCCGGTTGGAAAGGTCGCTATGGCAAGAATTTTTCAAGGTTGCCACCTAAGAGGAACTCATTTGGTTTTAAAAATCACGATGTAAGTGGTTGCAATGGGGGATAAAAACTCCAAGTTCTTTCATGAAACCACTAAAGTTAGAAGAAGAAAGAATAACATTGACGGCCTTTTGAATGATAATGACAAATGGGTGTTTGATCAGCATAAATTGAAAGATATGGCCATTGAGTTTTTCAGAATCTGTACACAAGCGAGTTGCCTCAAAATCGGGATTCCTGCTTGATCTCTAACTTTCCCAAACTCTCTAGCTCTGATCTGTCCTCTATTCAAAGAGATGTCTCCGATATTGAAATCAAGAATGATGCATTCTCTATGGGTGCTTTAAAAGCCCCTGGCCCTGATGGTATTCAAGCACAATTTTTTCAAATGCAATGGGATGTGGTGGGTATAAAGATCTGTGATTTGGTTCGAACTATTTTCAATAATCCACAAGCAATAAGCCGGATCAATCAAACTAGTATTGTGCTCATTCCTAAGGTTGACCACCCAGTCAAGCTAAAGGATTTCAGACCGATCTCTCTTTGTAATGTTAGTCTCAAGATTGTCAACAAAGTTATAGCATCCAAGTTTTGGCCAGTTTTGAACTATCTCATTGAACCTAATCAATGCTCTTTCATTGTTGGATGCCATAGCAGTGATAATATAATTATAGCTCAAGAAGCTACTCACACGATGAGGAGGAAACGAAATGGTAAGGGCTATATTGCTATCAAGGTGGATATGGAGAAGGTGTATGATAGACTCAAATGGTCCTTTGTGAAAGAAACCTTTTTATCTATAGGACTAGAGTCTAAAATTACTCAAGTCATTATGGCGGGATTGAATACAGCAGAAATGAGGATAGTTTGGAATGGAGAGGACACACCTTCCTTTCATCCTATGAGAGGCCTTCGTCAGGGAGACCCTTTGAGCCCATACTTATTTGTTCTATGTATGGAGGGGTTGGGTCATATCATTACCCAAAGCTGTAGGTAGAATTGCTGGAAACCTCTCAAGTTCTCTAGAAATGGTCCGTCAATATCACATCTTTTCTTTGCAGATGATCTAATGCTTTTTGCTGAAGCTTCAATCGATCAAATGGAGACAATTAGGGAAATTATGACTTTGTTCTGCAAGACTTCAGGACACAGAATTAATTTATCTAAGTCTAAGCTTTTTGTCTCTGTGAATGTGAACTTTCATAGGGCTATGGAGTTTAGTAATATTTTGGGTGTTGGACTCACGTCTGATCTTGGGAGATATTTAGGAATCCCTCTTTTCCACAAGAGAGTTACTAAAGCTACTTTTTCTCCACTCTTAGTTAAGGTGCGAGGTAAACTCTCAGGATGGAAAGGCAGATTCTTAAGTATGGTTGGTCGCCCAATTCTCATTAAGTCTGTGCTTTCAGCTCTCCCTTATTACTCCATGCAAACTTCCTTGCTTCTGAATGGCATTCTGGATGAAATTGAAAAAACTACTAGATCTTTTCTGTGGAATGAGCATATTGAGCAAAGGAAACTTTACTTGATATCTTGGGAGACAATCAAGAAGCCTAAACTCATGGGTGGATTGGGCCTCAAGGACCTAAAAAAGCAAAACATGGCGTTCATTTTTGAATTATGTTGGGGGCTAGTCACTAATCCAACGGCCTTATGGGCCAGATGCTTACGAGGTAAATATGGGTGTGATAATACGCAGTTGCCACTCATTTATCCTAAGAAGGCAATGTCTCAGACTTGGCGTAGTATCACTCAGGCTTAGGATACCTTCCTCAAGGGACTTGGGAGGAAGATAAATAGTGGTACTAATACACATTTCTGGCTTGATAACTGGACTCCCTCAGCACACCTCTCTTTATGTTGATTACCAGAGTGGATGAAAATTATAATCTGAGAGCCCAAATTAGCGACTTTATCCTATCGAATGGCACATGGAATGTTCAAGCATGAAAAAGATATCTTCCATTTAAGGTGGTGAATAGACTTACCAAAATCCGACCACCTTCTAATAGAGAGAGTGATACGTTGTGCTAGAGATATGGTCCTGCTAGAAATTTTACTGTTCAGGGCAGCATATAATTTCTTATGCAATAACCAGGAGCTAAATAGAGGCATGACTTGGCAATCCATATGGAAACTACCAGTCCTTGAGAAGATTAAGATGTTCTTGTGGCAAGTTAACCACGAAAGGCTTCTAACGAATCTCTTAAGAGCTAATAGAAATATTAGTAATTGTGCTTTATGTCCCTTTGAGTGTGATTGTGAGGAAACACTTTTACACATATTGAGAGATTGCCTTGTGGCTTCCGAGGTGTGGTCCAAATTTATTAACCCAAATTTCTTGTCCAGATTTTTCTCTTTGTCCTTACAGGAATGGCTGCATTGGAACTTGAAGCGGGAGATAGGAATGAGCCAAGTCAACAGATGGCCTTGGAGGAAAGTGTTTAGCTTGGGCTATTGGAATATTTGGAAAAATAGATGTCGCGGCATTTTTAACAATGACCGACTTTTAGTACAAAGGGTGTTTCAATCAATTCTTCATCATCTTAGGGAGGATAAAGCACTCAAGGTTTTCCGAAAAGTCATTCTACAATCTAGATTATGAGAGGAGGTGCATTGGGTGCCACCTATTGATGGCGAATTCAGATTTGATGTAAACAGCTCAGTAACTACAGAAGGAAATGCGGCTTGTGGTGGTGTACTAAGGAATCAGCAAGGAGATTGGATTGTGGGGTTCAAGCAAAATCTTGGTGAAGAGAATATTGTTGTAGCGGAGCTTATGGCTATTCATAATGCTTTGAATATATACAAAGAAAGGAATGTGACAAAGGCTTCCATCTATACCGATTCTTTACAAGCTCTTCAACTCTTGGTGCGTGATGGGAGCTACTTCCATCCTTTGAATGTTATTATTCAACAGATCCAGCAAACTTGGCAGAATACTGAAAATATACACATCATTCATACCTATAGAGAAGGAGTAAGGTGTGCGGACCAACTGGCTAGGAATGCTCACCATGGTAGTTTTGAGTTGCAAGTTATGCAGACGGTTCAAGTTATGCAGACGGTTCCTATAGAATGTTTCAATATTTTCTACTCTGAAGTACCTACCAATCGTTTGGCGAACTAGACGTTTTTTTGTACTCCAGTTTCCAAGCTTAGGCTTGCCTCGACTTAAAAAAATATAGTTAGGCCTCTTAAAATTTAAGTGTAATTAAAATTATAGGTGAATTGTAATTAAAATTATAAGTGAAAAGACCTTTATACCCATGTTTACTAAAACAATAAAACATTAATAGGTTGAAGTTATATTTACCCTTCACTTATAACTATAATTTCATACTCCATTAAGAAATATGAGGTATTTTTTAAAGGTTAAATATTTAAAAATATAAAATATTTTTAATCTTTTAAGGTGTAATCATTATTTTTTTTTAAATCCTATTGAATAAATCACTTTATGTTTATTTTAAGGTAAAACACTATATTAAATAAGGATAAATATGAAAAGATATTGTTAATTTAAAAATAAGTAACTATTTTATTAAGGGTGAGATTCGATTAAATTTTTTTTATATTTTTTAATGAAGCAAGTAATTTATAAGTATAAATTCTTAATTCACAACTCATATATTTGCATTGTATAAATAATAGACTTAAATCATATTTACTTTTTACTAAGTACAATTGTAATATCTATAATAAGGATGCATTTGTATTTATAAAACATGAAATATAACTTGCGGATTAAAAATTTTTACTTGTAAATTGAAAGTTGTAATGGTTCAGTGAAATGTAAATATGACCTTAGTCAATTACTGATAAAACATGCATGAAATCTAACTATGAATTAAAAATTTGTACTTGTTAAAAAAAAGACATAAATGACAGTTATTTTTCCTTACCATCATTTATGTCTCTATTATTTAAAGTCTGCTTAATAAATGATAGTTATTTAGCCATTATTTATTCCTTTATATAAATGACGGTTAAATAATTTATCATTTAAATAACCCATAAATAATTAAATGATAGTTAAATATTGCTCATTATTTATTCTGACTATAAATAACAGGTAAATATTTCAAATTATCTCATTTTAATTCTAATTAATAGTTATAATAAATTTTTGTTATTTTATTTTTAAAATATAATAATACTTAAAATAAATAAATTATTTTTCTACAAAAAAAAAAATAATAAAGTCCACCTAGATATGGACGGCTCTTGCAAGAATGGTTTTATGCATGCCATACAAAAGGGAGCTGAAAGAGTGAAAAATGTTTCTATCACTTTTTCCATTTATTATATGAAAAATTTATATTTTCAAAAGTTGTCGACCGACGCAGCCAACCGGCCATGCATGAAATGAAAGTCTTGCGAGTTTTAACCCAACATTACGTAGATTTTTCTTAGACGACCTCTTTATTTTAAATAATTCAATCTTTTATAACTACCAAATTGTCAATATGCCTAAAATTTTAAATTTCAAAAAAAAAATTGACAGCTAAGAAGTTTTAAATTCATTTCAAGAATTAGCATTGTTGGGGTCAATTTTATTCATTTCACCAATCTATCTGTACTAAATTAAATTCATAACGTTAAAAAAACTATACAAAGTCTTTAAATCAATTTTTTAGTATCAGGCCAATTCTTTTATTAATGTGATTGATACGCTGTAGTGTTATAGATATGATAATTTCCTGTTCAATTGTCGCACCAACTATATTTTATTCGACTTTAAAATAACTAACTTTTATTATTAAATTTACTTATTCAAATAATTCAGTTTTGTTTATGGAGAACCTCAACTTTATTAATTTCAGATCATACAAAGGTAAATTTATATTCCATCAATAATGTGGAATATTTTTTCAATCACTAAATACTCATCTGCTTCTAAATGTAGTATCTAGTCAGAGTTTGCTACGGTCATATTTGTAGAGATCTCAATCTTTTTGTCTATCCCATTAATTATTTTTTCAAACTACCACTATTTATTACACAATTTTTCACTGCAAAATATTTGAATTAAATTTATATTCTTTCTCTTGGTGAGGGGCATTTTAATTTAGGAACACCATTATTGTTTGAGGGCTGAGTATGAAAAAAAAACAGAGAGAATTGTTGTATAAAAGAACTTTTAAGCTCTACCCTTATAAATCATTTAAAACGGGCTTAGGCTTGCGAATCCTTTCAAACCTTGTATTTTTTTCCCCTCTTTTTTCAGTTAGCATGTGATTGAAATTGTTAAAAATTATTTGGATTGAATTGTTAATATTGAAAAATAATATGGTTAAAAAATTATTTGATTTATTTTTTTCTGAATTAATATATGAAAATGACATTTTTTAAAATTATGTATTAACACAATTAAAAATTTAAATAAAAAATTTAAGAAGGTTATGTGAGATTTAGGGCCAGCCTTGAGCTTTGTCAATAAGAGCCAAGCCTGAAAAATGAAGTTAATTTAAAAATGTAAATTTATAAATTTGAGCTCTTAAAGGCCAAAATTCACTCTTTATTGGCAACTTTAGAAGCTCACAAGGGGTGGGAAAGAAATAAATGGTTTAGGACTAATATCTAGATATGGTCCTCAGCTTGTTTTTGGTTTTCAGGACGCCATCTATGTGAATCAACACCGTAGTCTCTCCAACATGCATGAAACATGTGAATGGAACTTAACAGTACTTCACCAAAAAATCTAAATGAAGGGTTAAAATTTAAAAAGATATTTGTTGCAAGCAGTTTGATTAAAAAGCTAAGGGTTATATATCTTAGTTAATGACATGTTCGTAGGGTTATAATACGTTCAGTGTCCTGATTGCAAATCCCCACATCCTCGTACACAAGGCACGAGAAAGGTTTGACACGACTTCTACAAAGTTCTTTTTTTTATTACAAGGCCACGGCAAAACCGTGCAGGAGACTATAATCTAGTCATATCTAAAACCATAAGGTTGGTACAGTCAATTGGAGGAATATCAAAAATGGTAGCTTCAAAAGTGTCGTGTGTCGATCAGTGGACCAAGAGGTCCGCACATCTATTGGCTTCTCTATAGATATGGTCAAAGGTAACAACTCAGTCTCTCATAGTGAGTTCCTTGATCTTTCTGATAACGCCAGATAATGGGTGATTTCTGTAGCACGTGCTGTTAATGATTGATAGAGCTTCCATCTAGTCTATGTGGACATTGACTTTGTTTAATTTCATATTCCAGCAGAGGTTGAGACCTTCAAGAATTCTCACAAGTTCAGCTAAAGTGCTTGGTTGATATCTAAGGAATTTGGAGAATCCTTTAATCCAATTTCCTTTGTCATATCTGATGATGCCACCACAAGTTGCAATTCCATTGATGTTGACTGAGCCGTCAGTGTCAAGTCTAACCCAATCAAGTTCCGGTGGGCTCCCTTTGACTTTACCAGTAGTATCATTCCTATTCAAGCAAAGGGTTTTGCACAGAAGCCTTAAGTCATTATTAATTTGTTGGGTGCTAGAGAAGGAAATGTCATTGTCTGCAGTATCATCTTTAGAGTATAACTTCTTGCATCTATTCTTCTAGATATTCTAGCAAACTTGAGCAAAAAGTCTCTGCCATGGCATTCTTCTTGTATTTAAGCTACCTACTTCAACTTTTGCATTCAAACTATTCAATCCTACACATTAAGTAAGAAGAATGTGTTAATTTTAGTATGCTTAACTAATTTTTTCCAAACCTCTTTAGCTTCTTCACAGTCATGTAGAATATGAATAGAATAGTCAAGACAGTTACAACCAAAAGAACAGGTACGTTATTGGCCAGTATTTCCAAGTGTATACACAGGGTTAAGTTGGAGACGATTTAAGGCAGCCTTCTAAAGAAAGAATTTTATTTTATCATATGTAGGCCATTTCAGATTTTAGACCATAAGTCAGAGTGGTGCTGCTCCTTGTGTGACTCCATAGCTTTATAAGCAGATTTGATGAAGAAGTTTTCATCAGAGGAAGGCCTCCAAAATAGGACATCTTCTTGACCATGTCGGTTAGGAGGTTGCATAAGAGATATACTTTTGATCACATTAGAATGGAGATAGTGGCTTAATAGATCAAAATTCCATCCTCCTATATTTTTGGAAAAATCAGAGACCTTAGCATGTAAAATAGGATCGGCATTAGGAAATGCATGCTTAATAAGAGGCTCAAGGAAAGGAGACCATTTGTCATACTAGAAGGATATTTGATTTTCTTTTTCAATTTTCCAACCTACAAGGAGCATGAATTTATCCCAGACTTTGTAAATGCTACTTGAGGTATGAGAACAGTTGTCCGATCTAACAACCATGGGAATTTTGGGTTTATCACATTTCTATTTATTACGCAAAATTCAAACCTAGAGACAATTAGGCTTATTGATAAAGCCCCAACAAAGCTTCATGATGAAAGCAATGTTTTGATTCTTCAGTTTCTTAAGGCCAAGTCCTCCTTCTTTTTTATCCATAGTAATTCTATCCTAAGATAGGAGGTAAGGTTTTTTATTCCCATCAGTCGAATCCCAAAGAAAGTTTCTGGAGATTTTTTCTAGTTCTGACAAAATATTTTCCGATAAGAGCATAGTCTGCATAATGTAGTTGGGAAGAGCTGAAAGAACGGATTTGATAAGTACAGATTTCCCTACCATGTTAAGATATCTACTCCTTTAATTTGCCAAGCGAGAGTTGGTCTTATCAAGAAGAGGGGCAAAGGTGACTTTAGACACCTTTTCATGAATAATAGAAATTCCAAGATATTTTCCAAGATTGCCAGAGAGAGGAATCCCTAGTTCACCACTAATTTGTGTAGCTCTGTTGATATTGACATTTTTTGAATAGAAGAGCTTTGATTTTTTAGAGTTTATGCTCTGTCCAGAGGCGCTACAGAAATCGAAAAGGCATTGTTGGATGATAACAACTTGAGTAAAAGAACATTTTGCAAAAAGCAAAAGATCATCAGAAAAAAATAAATGAGAAATAGGAGGACCGTTTGTAGTTAATCTAATAGGTCTCCATTCATTTTTTTCAATACTACTGTTAATATAGTGGCTTAAACGTTCAATGCAAAGGATAAATAGATAAGGAGAAATAGGGTCACCCTGACGGATGCCACGAGTAGGTGCGAACTCTTTAGTAGGTTGTCCATTCCAAAAGATCCGCATGCGGGTTGTAGAGATGGCAGCTTGAATCAAATTCCTGAAGTATCTATTTATACCAATAGATTCAAGAGTATCATCGATGAATTTCTAAGACAATCTATC